GACTTCGCCATAGTGGGCCAGCTCACAGAACTGATCCAGGAGCTGGACTCGGGAATGGCGCGGTTCCACCTGCAGCAGGTGTTGCGGGACGAGAAGATGGGCCTGCAGCTCTTCAGGACACAACACCTGGAGGTGCTGCTGCCACAGGTGGACTGGAGCTGCCCCTGCCCCAACATCACACAGCTCCAGCTCCCCCTGCTGGTGATGGGGGTGGTGCAGGACGGGGCGGCCATACTGCTGCCCCACAGCTACGCCCGGCCCGTCTCTGAGCGCCGCCTGATGAAGATCCACGAGGCTCTGGACAAGAACATCTGCGGGACGCTGAGGAGACTCCAGGACTGATCCCGCAGGTATACCTATGCACACACAGTCAACACACGGCCAACACTGAGGACCAAACCTGAGGACATCTGAATCTGGGATCAGCGAGAGCAGACGGAGCGGACAATCAAGAACATCCTGATGAGCTGAGAGAAGCTGGCGTCTGTCGGCCTAACATCTCGACAGGTAAATGAGTCCCTGCCGAAGACTCTGAGGTGATCTACAGGAGGCTGGAGGGACTGCAGTGACTGCAGAGTTGGGATGAGCGGACGGTCGCTGTGTTCTGGGTAATGAACTCCTCAGAGCTTCTCCTGGAGTTGGACTGAGTCTTCACTCCTCTGGTTGCCGACCGCAGGCTTCATCAGAGTGCTTCAGGGATCCCGCTGCTGTGTTCTGCCAGCGGGTGTATTCTCAGTCAGTGTAAGAGATGAAGCTGGACGTTGAGCTGGAGGTGTGAGGTGTGCTGGTGTGTAGAAGACACGATGAGTTCTGCAGTGAATGACGGTGGTGTTCTGCAGCTCGACACTCACGTCTTTCCTCACTCCTCCACTTCTGTCATGCGCTCAGGACACCATGATCATTTGCTGTCATTAGTTTCTGTAGTTCCTCTAATATCACTCCTGCAGGACAGATCTGCTCTGTGTGTGTGTGTGTGTGTGTGTGTGTGTGTGTGTGTGTGTGTGTGTTTACCTGCGTTACATGTGTCCTCTCATCAGCCTATTATATTAAAGCATTCATTCATTCATTGTTCTTCAGCTTAGTCCATTTATTCATCAGGGGTCACCACATTTACACAATGGATGCCTTTCCAGTGCAACCCAGTACTGGGAAACACCCCCACACACAAACACACACACACACACTCACACATTCATTTAGTTGATCAGTTCTCCTATAGCGCATGTGTTTGGGAAACAGAGCACCCGGAGGAAACCCACACTAACACGGGGAGAACATGCAAACTCCACACAGAAACACCAACTGACCCAGCCGAGACTCAAACCAGAGACCTTCCTGCTGTGAGGCCACAGTTTGACACCACTGAGTCACCGTGACGCTGTGTTGAAATACTTCACTGTGGAGTTCTGCTGTAGTGGTCCAGTAAAGTGATCAGTGTGAGTCCTCTGAGACGCCGCGCTGCCGCTGGATGGCCCAGTTCTGTGACACAGGAGCATCAGCTGAGCGGGCCAGAGTGGAGGTGCCATCAGTGAACCGAGCTGATCTGATCTCAGCACAACCTTCAATAGGGAGTGTGAAAGAAATGTGTGTTCTCGTTTGTGTCTGTGTGTGTGAGTGTGTGTGTGTGTGAGGGGGGGGAGGTGTTGCACAATATCTATGTTAGCACAAGTGGATGTTGCAAATAATGTGTTTGTGTGTGTGTGTGTGTGTGTGTGTGTGTGTGTGTGTGTGTGTGTGTGTGGAGTGTGGGAATGAGTGCAGTGTGTGAAGTGCGCTGTACACTTGTGTTAAACACACCCTTCCTGTGATGCACATTTACTCCCACACTGATCGGTAGGTTAGACGTGTGTTTCTCAGTAGAGTATTTATGTTTGTTTTTGTGAAAAGTGGGGACATTACATAGGTTTCCATTCATTTTATACAGCCCAAACCGTATATTGTATTACCCTCACCCCACCCCACCCCTAAACCCAACCATCACAGCAGACTGTGTGCAGCTTTACTCTCTGATTAAACTCATCCTGTGGGATTTATAAGCATTTTGAGAAATGAGGACGTCACCAATGTCTTCACATTTCACCTCCTTTCTGTAATACCTGTGTCACACCCATGTCATTATACAGATTTGTGTCCTGATATGTCACAAAAACACGTACACACACACACACACACACAGCGCTCAGTGTGAAGGAGGAAATGAGATTGCGATGAGGAAATGAACAGGAAGAGTTTGTCAGAGAGATGATCAGCGGCAGAAGATGGAGATGTGTGTCTTCACCCTCCTCATGTGCGGTGAGAGATCATCATATACTGACGAGCTGAGCTAGACGCATTCTGCAGTGTGTGTTAGACGAGAACAGGAGCTTACCTGAACATGCAGCATTACTGATCATGTAGACCAGCGAGTGTCTGTGTGTGTGTGTGTGTGTGTGTTTGTGAAATTCCGTCTTTAAATTGTAAACAGTTACAATAAGTGTGTGTGTGTGTGTGTGTGTATGTCTATCTTAGTGTGTGTGTGTGTGTGTGTATGTGTGTATGTGTGTGTGTGTGTGTGTCTATCTTAGTGTGTGTGTGTAAGTGTGTGTGTGTAAATGTGTGTGATGTGAACAGGGTGTGGTATCTTTGTGGCCGTACACATGTTGACAGGAACACGCACACACACACACACACACACACACACTGCTCTGTATGCTTCTTCAGTTGTGTGCAGGTGTGTGATGCTGGTATGGAGTGTGAATGCCCGGGCAGATGGAGTGTGTGTGCTGTTCAGGGTTTGTGCAGTGTTCAGTGTGTTTGTCTGAATCCCGAGCGTTTGTTCCTGCGTCTTATGAAACTCTGTCAAACAGGAAGAGAAACTCTGTGTATCATTAAGAAACTGTGGCGAGTGTCTGCTAATGTGTGTGCGCTCATCAGCGTGTCGTTTCTCAGCGTGTCTTTCAGAGGCCTTCAACATGGACACCGAACATCCGCTGGTGTATAACGGCAGCGCAGCAGATTTCTTTGGTTACAGCGTTCATCAGTCTGAGAGCAGCACACAGTGAGTCACACACACATACACACACACACACACACATATTTACACACACACACACACAGGCACACACACACACACATACACATACACATATATATACACAAACACATACACATATACACACACACACACACACATATACACACACACACACACACACTGGCTGGTTGCTAGGGATTGTACACAGTTGCTAGGTGTTTCTGGCCTCTGATTGGCTGTGCTCTGGTGTTTTTGGCAGGATTATTGTCGGAGCTCCATTAGCCAGGAACTCAACAGGTGAAATCTACACCTGCGCATCAGATCTGCGCTCCTGCAAAGCGCTGCGCCGGCCAGGTATCACACCGCGCATGTTTCACAGAGAGCCGCTGGTGTATTGTGCATTGCTGAAGCTCTCGGCCAGACGTTACTCTGCCTCTAACTGCTGTGTGTTGTGTTTGACAGACTCAGAGCGCGTCCGCTTCTTCAGCATGTCTGTGTCTGTGTCGCCTGACGCTCCGCTGACTGTAAGTTGATGTGTTTGACACACTTAATATGGTGACAAAATGTATATGGTATCTTGGGGAACCTCAATCTGACACCAAATGAAAATGAGCTTCAGTCCAAACATGATAATGCAATAAAGCAGCCATGTTTAGCTGAAGATAAACTCTCATAGCAATTACAACACAGACAGAGAGACTGCAGATATAAATCAGGCCAGATGTGTGTGTGTGTGTGTGTGTGTGTGTGTGTGTGTTTCTCTTTCTCAGAGCTGCAGTCCGTATCTCCCTCATGATTGTGATGGAAACTCGTATCTGAACGGCATCTGCTACCAGTTCAACAGCGGCTTACAGGCCGTCTCCAACTTCACTGCCGCTTACCAAGGTCTGACCAGCCTGACAGGCTTTAGCCAACTCAATCCATCAATAAAGGCGTGATTAGAGACATTACCTTATACTCCTGGGGAAAATGTGTTGTCCATCTGGTCAGTAGTTCAGAGTTTGATTGTTAGTAATGACGTGTATTTCTGTGTCTTGTGTTCTCCTGCAGAATGCACAAAGAGAGAGGTCAACCTGGTGTTTCTGTTTGATGGATCCCGCAGTATGAAGCCAGAAGAGTTTGATCTGAATAAAGACTTCATTACAGATATCATGAAGAAACTGTCGAACTCCTCCATAAAGGTGTTGTTCAGCACTGCTGTGATCATCATCAGGGTTTAACAGAGCTCTCCTCATGGCTGATGATGCTAACAGTCGGTGTTTCTCTGTGTGTCAGTTCGCTGCCGTCCAGTTTGCAACAACCTTCAGTACTGTGTTTGACTTCAACGACTATCAGCTCGGCTCCGCTGAACAGAAACTGCAGAAGGAGAAGCACATGAGCGCGCTCACAAACACACACGGGGCCATCAAATACGTCCTGTGAGTAAAACTCCACATGGTTTAGAACACTAATGCAGCACGAACCAGGTTGAATTCCGGTTGAGTGTTGCTGTTACTAGTCTACTTCTACTTCTCATCCTGATAACAGGGTTTTGAACATTAACAAATCAGACGTCTCTCTCTCTCTCTGTTGCTTTTGTTGCTGTAAAAATGTAAAGTAGAGAGCACACTGGTGTAGAATCAACACAGATGATGTTCACGTGTCATTATGTCTGATTTATTCCATCACTAGAGAGAATCTGCTGAATAACGTGTCGTCTGGAGCCAATCCCAAAGCTCAGCACGCCCTGGTGATCATCACAGATGGAGACCCCACCGATCGGGATAATGAACATGTGCTCGAGAAATGTGACAAGCAAAATATCCTGCGCTACATCATTGGGGTGCGTTTTCATCATTTGCTTTGTGTGCTGGATAGTCTGTGGTAGGTCAGTTTATTATTGAGGGTCAGTGTGTGTCTGTCAACCTATTTAAACACATGACAGCGACAGATGGAAACAGGACTTAATGACTTAAATTAACCATGTTTACCTTTACGTTCAGAATATTTCCAACTTTAAAAGACAATCATCCTTGACCTGTTAATGACTTTATGAACATGTTAATCAGTTTTGATCTGCACTGATATGAAAAGTGTATCAGATATATTGATGCTTTTGTTGTTCAGGTGGGAGGCCTTGCAAATTTAGCCAGACTAACTTCACTGGCATCAGAACCAAAACACAACAACACTTTCTTTATTAAGGACTATAAAGGACTCGAAGGACTTCTGGATAACCTGCAAAAGAAGATCTACAACATTGAGGGTAAAATATTAATGTGAAGTAAAGCAATACTACATGTAGGTTTCTGAATTAAATCAGCAAATGAAGATCATCTGTGTTTTCAGGCTCAACAGAAGCACACAGCAAAGACAGACTGAAAGAGTTATCACAAAGCGGATTCAGCGTCATCAACCACAAGGTGAGAGAGATGTCCCACACAGAGGAAAGTTCATGTAGTGTGTGCTAAATCTTCTGAAATTATGTAGAAATCTGCTCGCCTTATCAATGTAGTCAGTAATGCCTGGTCATTGTGGTTTTGTGGGAATGTTTCGATTCACGTTTTGCTGTGTTTATGTTTTTATTTGGGGTCAGGGTTTGATGCAGTCATCTTTTAAAATTAAAAATAACTGAAACTAAACAAACCTCGCCTTTCTCACTGCATTAGGTGGTGCTACATGAATTACATGAGCTGGATATAAATAAACCTGCACATGCAGACTCTTAACATTACTCACAGCAGCAAGGCAGACTGACAGAGCTGTGTTCATACGCCTCTATAGTGATTATTGTGTGTAAATGTCAGTGATCAGACGTGACGTGTCGTTTCAGGACTCTGTGATCGTGGGCTCGGTTGGATCTAATGACTGGCGTGGATCTCTGTATGAAGTGACGGGATCAGGATCTGGAGTGAAAGAGACTGAGATTAGAGATCCGTTCGTCAGTAAAGACTCATATATGGGTAAGCTGAAGCTTCTGCAACAGGAGGCCTGTGTCATGTGTAGAGTTTGTGCATGTTTCAATGATGCTGATGGTGTTCAGGTTACTCTGCTGTGCTGGGAGCGAGAGCCGGCGTCTCCTTTCTGTTCTCCGGGGCTCCGCGAGCCGAACACATGGGTCTGGTGACTCTCTTCATCAAGAATGACAGCAGCTGGAGAGTGAGCTGGAACATCTCAGGGGAACAGGTGAGTGAAGGAAACCCCTCAGACTCAGCATGAACACTCTCTACACTCTCAGGAATAAAAGCTGTCACTGGAGCGGTACCTTTTCAAAAGTACATTTGTACCCAAAGAGTCCACAGTGGCACCTCAAAGCGCATATTAGTACCCAAATGTACCTAAAAGTACATCTGAGGCACTATTATGGACTTTTCAGGGAAATAGATGAAGTCTTTTCCACATCGCCCCCTGATGTTTCTAGGCTGTACTGCGGGACTGTGTTTGTGTTGATGTCTTCTGTCAGTATCAGCCTTTACATTCATTTAGATAAATTCTGCTCATCAGATTGGATCATATTTCGGAGCGTCTCTGAGTCTGCTGGATGTGGACTCTGATGGAGACTCAGATTTCCTGCTGGTCGGAGCTCCGCTGTTCCACCAGTCTCAGCCGAGGGCGGAGGGCAAGCTGTACGTCTACACCTTTTCTGATGGGGTATGGAGAGGTTTTGACCGTTAAGATGTTCTTCAGATAATGGAAATAGATGGTTCTGGTGCCGCTCATTTCCTCTTGATCTCTCTCTAGCCCTTCCAGAAGATGCTGAATGTGAGCGGGTCAAACATTGGCAGGTTTTCTGCATCTCTGGCATCCCTAAAGGACCTGAATGGAGACAGCCTGTCAGATGTGGCGGTCGGGGCTCCGCTTGAGAACGATGGAGAAGGAGTCGTCTACATCTACCTGGGTGACGGGATGCGTGGCATCAACCTTAATCACGCTCCTCAGGTGAGAGTTTGCTTGGGCTCTCATGATGTTTGAGACTGGCTTTATCACAGGAACTCTGCCCAGTGTGAAAACCTCCTGACCATCACATCCTACACCGCTTCACTTCACTTTACACTGAGGAACAGGCTGTGAACTGAACTTATCAGTGTTATGTGGATCATCGTGCATGTGAACCTCTGTATGTGTGTGTGTTTAGCGGATTTCGGGCCGGTCGGTTCTGCCTGGTCTTCAGCAGTTTGGAGTGTCTCTGTCCGGCCAGATGGACATGAGCGATGACAACCTGACAGATGTGGTGATCGGAGCGCGAGGAGGGATGGTGCTGCTCAAGTAGGACATTTACCACATAACCGGACTCTCACAGTCTCAACACAAGCTCCTGTTGATGACATACTGATGACCTTCTGTGAACTCTGGTTGTGTACAGACACATCAGTGGCCAGATATTATTCAATCACAGTTTATGTGGAGTAAATCAGCAAACCTGCTCAACATCAGTGCTCCAGCCGGTTGTGTGGGATTGTTGGTCATTTGCTCATTTCTCTCCTCTCTCAGGGCTCGGCCGGTGATGTCTGTATCTGTGCAGCTCAGCTTCAGTCCTAATGAAATCAACCTGAACTACTTTGAATGTCCAAGTGACAAAGTGTTGAATGTGTTTAATCTCACTTCATGTTTCACGATGAAGGAGCAGACGAGCAGCAACGGTAACGCCAACGACATCTCAAAGCATCTCTGAGCTCTGCCACACTAAGGGTCTTCCAGTCTCACCCTCTCATGTGCTTCAGGATCGCTCGACAAGAAGCTGAACGTTTCTCTGGAGCTGAACGTGGACGTGATGAGAGGAATCAATCGAGGGTTCTTTGTTCAGAGGGATTCATCATCCAAGGCTCTGCAGCAGCTCCTCCTGCTGGATTCTGGGATCTTCTGTCGGAGCTTCCCCGTCTTCATGCCGGTGCGTGTCGTCCATCACAGCTTCAGCTGATCTCTTTGTGTCTTTATGGCAGGGGTTTACAAGTGCTGCCCTGGAGATCCACAGTCCTGCAGAGTGTTCCTCCACCCTTGATAAAGCTTGATTAGCTTGTTGAGGTGTGTTTGATTGGTGTTGGAGCTGAATCCTGCTGGACTGCGGCTCTCCGGGACTGAACTTGTCCACCGCTGCTTCATGGAAAATGTTGTGTGTGTTTCAGGGCTGTGTTGCAGACACAGTGTCTCCTCTGAAGATACGAATGAATTTCTCTCAGAGTGAGATGTCTGGAAGCTCTGTGGCTGTTCTGGATGTCTACAGCAGGACAGAGGAGTATGTGGAGGTGAGATTAGCATCAGCGGCTCAGTGATTAACCTGTGAGCCATGAGTCTTGATCTGTGGAGTCTGTCAGGTGTTGAAGATGTGCAGCGTTTGAACTTTTCTCCAGTGGTCATTAGATTGTTCTGTTTTGCGTGCGTCTAGGTGCCGTTTCAAAGGAACTGTAATTCCAATAACAGCTGTGTGGCCGATCTGAAGCTGGACTTCAGTTTTAGGTAAGAAATGTCCAGTGTGAAAGTGATTATAAGCGTGGCTGACTTCTGAAATCATGTCAGAGATTCTGTGTTGGTCTGTTCTGCAGGAACAACACGTTAGTGGTGGCGAATCAAGCTCATTTCACGCTCCTCATATCGCTGGAGAACCCCGGCGACGACTCCTTCAACACCAGCATAGTGCTGCACTACCCAGACGGCCTCTCGCTCTCAAATTTCCTGACGGTTAAGGTACAGATGACTGCTCATAAGACTAAGGACTAAAAACATAAGAATTTTCAAAATGTGACTTTGCCCATGTCATGAGTTAGATAAAGCACATAGAGAGGTTGGACAATGAAACAGACGCACTGGCCAATGTCGTGTTGGAGGATTCAGGGCTAAATGTGACCGGCCTGGTGCTTAAACTTCATTGATTGCACATTTTAACAGTAAGAGCAGAGCGTGATGGTTTATCAGCAGAGGAATAGCACAGCTTTGCTTAAAACACTACTATTCACACAACATTATGGGGACATATCAGTTCAGAAGAGGACAGATTGTTGGTGTGCATCTCACAATTATCAAGAGCCGTGGGATACAGAATATTGTCAGAAAACCACCAAGAACAACCACAAATCCAACAGGAGGAACTGTGGACACAAGAGGAAGCTGTCTGAAAGAGATTGCCGGCGGCTGTAGCCAAACCTGATCTCTGATGAGTCCACCTTCACTGTCTTTCCCACATCCGGGAGAGTTACGATGTGGAGAAGCACAAAAAAAAGTGTCCCAGAGTGAAGCATGGGGGTGGATCAGTGATGGTTTGAACCAAACCCAATACCTGTGCTAGATGGACACGTCCCTGCCAAGAACCACCATTCCGGGTCCAACACTGTATCCTGAAGGCAGTGGTGTGTATCAGGATTCATTAATTTTCTTTTCGGCTTAGACCCTTTATTAATCAGGGGTCGCCACAGCGGAATGAACCGCCAATTTATCCAGCGTATGCCCTTCCAGCTGTAACCTATCACTGGGAAACATCCATACACACTCATTCACACACATACACTACAGACTGCATGTGTTTGGACTGTGGTGGAAACCGGAGCACCCAGAGAAAACCCACGCAAATGCAGGGAGAACATGCAAACTCCACACAGAAACACCAACTGACCCAGCCGAGGCTTGATCCAGTGACCTTCTTCGACAGCACTACCTACTGCGCCACCGTGTTGCCCTGTATCAGGATGATAATGCACATATACACAGAGTGGTTTGACGAACATGAAAGTGAAGTTGAACATCTCCCATGGCCTTCACAGTCACCAGATCTAAACATTACTGAGCACTTTGGGCTGTTTTGGAGGAGTGAGTCAGGAAAGGTTTCCTCCAGCAGCTTCAGTGGTGACCTGAACACTATTCTGAAGAGGACGGCTCAAAGTCCCTCCGGCCGCTGTGCAGGACTCGTGTCTCATTCCCAAAACAAACTGATGCTGTATTGAGGAGGAGCTACATCATACTCATGAATCATTGAGCTCTGACACCAGCTGTTTCAGTTTCAGTCCAACCTCTGTTAATCATACTGATGTTTTTAAAGTAGTAAGTAAAGTTTATATATAGAAAAGTGTATATAAGTAAAAATGCTCAGTTTCCTGTAAGGGTACGGTTGGGTTAGGGCAATAGAAAATCCATTGAGCTCTTGGAATGAAGCTTGTCTGTGTGTTTGTGTGTTGAATAAACAGCCCAGCCGGACCCGAAGCAGCTGTGGTGATCGCGACAGCGGAGCGACAAACAGAACCACCTGCAGCATCAATCTACCAGTGTACCGCAGCGGCACTACAGTAAGACACACACACACACACACACACACAAACACACACACACACACACACACACCCGGAGCAGTGGCAACTACTGCTTCTAGTGTCCAGGAATAAGGGGTTTGCTCAAGGGCAGCTCAGCTGGGTGTTGGAGTTGGGAGAGAGCGCTGGTCATTCACTCCCACATCTTCCAGTCCTGCTGGGACGAGACTCGGAAACCCCCTAACCAGATGATTGGTTCTCTATAGATGTACCTTGGCTGTGTTCATTTTCCTTCAATGCTGATCCTCAGAGATTTCTTCTGTCTTCTAGACTCAGTTTCAGGCAACATTTCGAGTGTCGAAGTGGGATTACGACTGGTCCGACATGATGGAGATGATGATCACGGCCAACAGGTGAGCGAGGCGTATATGAAGACAGATTAATGAACTGGAAATATGCAGTGCTAACTCAGTTTACTCATGTTACAGAGGGGAAGAAGACTGATGGTTCTGTATGTAAGTCTGTATGTTTGTTCACAGCGACAACAATGGAAACACGAGCGCTGCGGCGGTGAGGAGGAGTGTACCGGTTCAGTTCGCTGTCGATGTGGCCATCAGTCTGTGAGCAGCACTTATTCACTCTTCTGTTCTGTTCATCTGCCTCAGTCAAACTCAGCAAAACTCCCTCAAACTGTGTCAGAAACACGAGAGTAAATCAGGGTTATTGTGTGTTTGACAGATCGGCTGAAGACTCTGTGACGTACCTGAACTTCTCTCTGGAGGACAGAGGTCCAAAACCTCTCCGCATCGTCTACAAGGTCAGAGAGTGGAGCACACCTGTGCAGTGTTATTGTGTTGTTCGTCTTGCGTGTGGCTTCAGTCACGCTCAGAGAACTGCAGTGAAGCCCATTCAGAGCCCTCAGTGTGTTCACAGGTGGAGAATCTGGGTGTAAAGGGTCTGCCGGTGAGGGTCTCGCTCCACCTGCCCTGTCCAACTACACCTGTGCGTTTAAGCAAACAGAAGTTCAGCGTGCAGCAGGTGGGTCACTCCTTCATCATCATCATCATCATCATCATGTGTTCAGGTGATTGACCCTGTTCTGTTCTTCTCCACAGAACTCTACAGACGTGGCGTGCACATCCTCTGAGGTAAGAGATCACACATGCGTCTGCTGTGATGTGAAGAGCGAGTCTCAGCTCTCAGTGCTCTGTTGATCTTTCAGGACGATCACTGCGAGACGATTGAGTGTTCTCAGTTTCATCTGGACAAACATTCAGTCGTTCAGTTCATCCTGACAGCAGACGCCACTTTCCAGAGCGTGAAGGAGTACGAGAGCGTGAGTGATGAACACACACACACACACACACACACACACGCACACACACACACACACACACGAACATCAGCTGGAGATCTCACCCTAACCCTCCTGCTGTAGAAATTTTCCTTCCAGGAGTTGAGGAAGGATTTCTCCTTGAACATCAGTGCCGAGCTCAACTACAACAGAAGCCGCTACAACCAGACGTCCACAGGCCTGAAGGTGACGCCGCATGACACGTGTGTTATGATTCGCTCTGTCAGCTCTAGAACAGCTGCGCTCTGTTTCACACTGTAGGGAAATGATCTCCTAAAGATTGAGCTCTGAGATCTGCAGCAGGTGTGGAGAGTGTCGATCCTGCAGAGTTCAGCTCCAACCCTGAAAAACCCTCAATCCTGAAGACCTGGATTGGCTTGTTCAGGTTGTTCGGGTTGAGCTAAACTCTGCAGGACACTGGCCCTCCAGGATCATTAGCCGCATTTCCACTGTCGGGCCAGGGCGAGCCGGGGCTTTTATCGGGTCGGGCTGGGCTAATCGCCCGGGTGGTTGAGCAGTGAGGCCGAAATCATGTGGTGTTTCCACTGTCGGGCTAGTAGCTCACAGCGCATTATGTAAACCCCGCCCCCGAATCAACCGTCAACAAACCCCGCCCACTTCATTTAACATGTACAAGCATGGTATGTCTACACGCACAGGCCTGTGTGTTCTCATTCATCATATGCATTTACTCACCGACCGACTGTTGGCATCGTGCATCGAGTGATTTCGCCACTAACGGAGGAACCCAGCACAGTGAGCGCACCATCTATAATATAACAGCACAGACATGCTCCGTTAATAACTCGGTATGAAATGTTTTTATGACATCTTTGTTCAGATGAACGTCGTCAAACATTCAGCCCAAATGCTGCGGAGCGCCCTGAAACATCAATATTCCCTATAGGCTACATGACATTTAATATTAGGGGATTCCCCTTTATTTAAAGCTGTTGCAGATTATTCTGTGATCTTAAATACAGGGAAGTGTTCAGTGTTTCAGCACAGAAGAGCCAGTAATGAAATATAGCGTATTTTTTGTTGCGCTCAGCAGATATCCTCTAATAAAGCTCATCATTTACTATGTCATTTTCATTTCCCCACATCATATAAACACATCAACACTTGTTTGAGGACACAGAACAGATTTAGTGTTTGTAAAGCGGCGGACAGAGAAAAGGGTCTGCTTTTACTGCTCTGTTTGCAGGATTTGATTATATCATCGTCTCCAAATACTTCATAAAGAATATTTAAACCTCCTCTGGTGTTTATAGTTTTTAGACAATATCTAAAACCTTTTTTTCAGACAGGCCTTTGTAAAATGAAAGTTATATTTGGCTGTAAAGCGTGTTGATTTCTGTATTGTGTATAGCTGCACTGTTATAGCTAGCTTTAGTTTGTTTTATATCGGTTTGTTTTGAGTCTACTAAAGTGAAGACGTCATTTGTGCAGTTTTCTGTCTTTCTGTTGTATCCAGATTCTGGATTATCACCAAGAGAAAAAAAGAAAAACAGAAGCCGCTCACATCATCTACAGAGCAGTGAAGCGAGCGCTCACATACAGGCATCTAACACACACAAACACACATCTAACACACACAAACACACATCTAACACACACAAACACACATCTAACACACACAAACACACATCTAACACACACAAACACACATCTAACACACACAAACACACCTTTTACACTGGACAAAAACTCTCGACTACCTTCACTGTCTGCCGTGTGTTTAATATGGTGTAAAGATTATTCTGCGTTATTGAATCATCGAGGAGGACGCAGCAAAGTCACTTATAAATGAAAACTATAAATGTATAAAAAATAATGCTTTTCTGCAGCAGCCATACATTTAAAAAGGAAATATGAGGGCGATCATGAGCAGAAGAGCCCTAATATAAGGTGTTTAATGGAATAGCCTATCTTAAACTTCAGCTGGATGTTTTCTTTCCTTTATTTATTTGTTTGTTTGCTGCATGTACTCGTGTGAGATCGGAAAACCAGTGTAATGACCGCACACCATCTTTCCCAGACTCGGGCTAACTCCGCCTCTCCTTTCACTCCGCCCTGAAGCCCCAGCTGCCCCTCTTTGACCCAAGGTCTTCAGCGGGCTGAAAAAAGCCGCCGCTGGCCCCGAGAAAGCCCCGCTTTGGCCCGATCAGGTCTGGAAGGGAGTTGAAAGGCGACTGGTCTTGGCTCGCTTGCTTTAGGTACGATAGTGGAAATGTGGCTAGTGCTGTCCACCCCTGACCTACAGGAGTAATGTGATGTTGCCTGTTGTCAGTGCTGCGCCTGTGCTGCCCCCTACAGGAGTGTGTCATTATCAGCATCGGCCTGAATTTATAGCACAGAGTCACACATACACACTGTTCTGCCATGTTTAATCAGCCGTGTCTCTCTTCTTTCTGCAGGACGACCCTCATAAATCACAGGTATCCTCTGTCCCATTTTATTAATGATCACAGTGTAAATGTGTAGTGTTTAATGTTCTCTCTCTATGACGGAGAGGGCATCTGTAGTCTAATAAACTCTGACTGTTTGCCAGAGCTGCTGTGTGTTGAGCTTTGTGTTCATCATGTTGTCTGTCAGTGTCCTGTATGAAGGTAGTGTAGGGTGTGAAGGGTTTGAGGAGATTCTCTGTGTTTGTCTCAGATCACAGTGAAGGCCGAGTTCGTCCTTCCTCCCAATCGAATGCTCATCATCAGTGTTGGTGCAGGGGGCGGGCTCATCTTGCTCATTATCATATTCTTCCTGCTGGTGAAGGTAAGAACCAATCAGCAGTCACTTCACACCTGACAGCATCATTCTCACTCAAATCGTGTGTGTGTGTGTGTGTGTGTGTGTGTGTGTGTGTGTGTGTGTGTGTGTGTGTGTGTGCAGTGTGGGTTCTTCAAGCGTAGGCGTCCTGAAGAGTTTCCCTCTCAGACTGATGATGTATCTGCTCTGGAGAACAGCCCTGAAGACTCTCCTCTCATGGACACAGATGCTAAAGACGGTGCAGGAGTCGCTGTGAAGGAGAACGGAGCGAGTGCAGACCCGACAAACACAGAACAATAACAACACAGCTCATTTAGCACAGATTAGCTGTACATATGATAATGCTGGGGGTTTACAAGCATTTGTTTACAGTCTGAAGCCTCGACGTCTGATGTGTTTTTAGAGGTTGTGTTGTGTTGTGTTGTGTTGAGTTGTGTTGTGTTGAGTTGTGTTGTGTTGATTTGATTTGTGTTGTGTTGATTCCAGTCAATTAGAATTTTATTTATAAGCCAATTTAAAATATTTACTGTGATAATTTGATTAAATCTTCTGTTTATTCTTCATGTTTTTCTTAACATTTAATGTTTTTTGGAGAAGAGATGTATTATTTGTGCTGTAACAATAATAAAATAGTTAATTAAAGGAGATATTCACGGGTCTGTTTATTCTCCCTGTTTTAATGATTTAACAAACGTTTGACTGAAAGATTGTGAATTCCATATCCTCACTACAGATGTGGATCCTGCTCTGAAAACAGCTGACCAAGACAGCGGGTCTTTGTGAAGATCAAGAGCTGTGGTATTCAGAGAAATGTCAGCAAACCACCAAGAAGATGAACCACATCCACCATGAGGAACTTTGGATGCCAGAGGAAGCTGTCTAAAAGGCCATGTCTTGCTGCAAACCCTTATTGGATCCAAAGAACAAAACACCACAGCTGCCCAAAGGTTTTCCTCCAGCAGCATCACACAGTGAGACCTGAACACAACACGTTCTCACTCCCAACTCGTCACATACTGACGCTTGGTCAGGAACCCTCGGCGTAAGTTATTGACGAACAGGGTACCCCTTTAGCGTCATATTTAGACGTGCAGGGATTCCCTATAGAATCTGTGCCTGAGCCTGAGGCGTCATAGGGAGACGCTGGAGGCTTGTATAATTACCAATAGATGTCAACGCAATTTTTAAAACCTGATTTACGTCTATTATCTTAGTTTTCTTATTTTAAAATATGTAATTTTTATTTTGTTCATGAAAAGCGTCTGTAAACTGGGTCGAAACTACTTTATGAATAAACTTCGGTCCACGTGACATCTCTTAACGGTGAGTTTAACGCCGCTCTGCTATTGGTCAAACTGCATCAGCGGTGAGTTCACAGATGAGTTCAACTGTCAACATTAAATAGTATGTTAATGCTTCATAATGTATTTTTATTGGAGATTTGTTGGTGTTTATAAATATGTTATCATTTACTTTATATTTAATGAGTGAAATTATATTCGGTTGCCCAGTTTAGAGTAACTATGCCTAATAAAACTTTGATTCATTCATATTATTTATTGTTTTTTTACTTTAAAAAATATTGCATTTCAGGTACTAAGTTTAAAAATGTTTTTGGCTGATATTTTTTTTATTTTAAATGATTCATTGAAGTTGGGGTCATTGTATGTGGCGATCTATTTTTTACAGTCTATGCTCGCTATCCCAAGGTTCATTGCGATCCCAAGGTTCACTGCGTTTTCCACAAGGTAAGTAAAAAGTAAACAAATAAAGACGATTTGTTGATAAAGCATGTACTGTAAACTAGCGACGTTAACTAATTACATCAAGTTATTAAAAATATATTTTTCTCACATATAACATTGGTCATGCATTAGAACAATATATACATTTTAAGATAAGGAACAGTGTAACCAGATTGTTGTTTTCCACAATAGAATTCGTGCAAAATCTATATATAATATGCAATATGCAACTCTAATAATACAAATGTATTCGTAATTGTTTTAATATTAAAGAACATCAAGTGTTTCCAAAGGTTTAAAGGCTACATTGTTAAAACAATTATATATATATATATATATATATATACAGGTGTAAATTATAAGGTGTTCACTGTTCAGATATGAATATTCTTCAGGTTCTTTAGATTTCTTTAAAAATCCAATTTTGTTTTCTAATAATCAAAAAGTTAAATCACTTTACCCATGTTTATATGTTAAATTGCAATTGTCTCTCTCTCTATCTCTGTTAACACATTTGTATTTGTTTGATTCATTCTTGTGTCTTTCAGCCTGTTTCTGCCTATCACTATGAGTGATTCCTTTATACTCAGATTTATCATCAAGATCTCAATTATAAGCTTAAGTCTTGATGACAACTTGATGATCTGCAGGAAGCACCACCATGTAAGGAAGGCCAAGACCACTCTGGAATCAGTCAAGGGTTAGTGAAGTTTTTCATTCCATGTATATTAAATATCTACATTGTTTAGGCATATATGATTGTATGAGATAAAATGCATTTATTCTTTCACTACTATTGTAATCACAGAAAGAAACGCATTAGTTTTACTATTACTATTGTTTATGACAAACATTAAAAAACTACAGCATAAGCTCACAAAATATTGTGGCCTAACTGTTTAAAACTATTTGTTCTGGGTGTTGATAGTGGCCAATCATTTTTTTCTTTTTCAGAAAGTATTTTGTTTTGTCTGATTTTATGACACCTTATAGGCCATCAACTGCCCACATTGGGGTTTAGGAAATTAGAACTGCTTATGCTGCTTGTCAACTAGTCTTAGGATAAGTTAGAAATGTTATAAATGTACATTTTTTGTTGTTTTTATCTGGTACAGCTCATAGGAACTCCAATCTTCCCAACTGTGAGAGAGCCTTGCTCCAGTGACTGTCAGTGTGTACTTCATTGTTTCCATTAGTCCCTGTATCTGTAGACCCAGGTGACAGTGGGCTAGAGTCAAATTTTGTTTTTATTTAAACTAAGGCATACTGATGGCCTTTTTATCTCAGATTTGGTCATGCACGTATTAATATATCCTAAAATATTTTTATATTCTTTCCATTGGTGGAAAAGATGTTGGTATAATTATTTTACATGGACTGCTAAGATCTCAGCAGACATTTTTCTGAGATATTCTTGAGTGGGAGTCTGTGCAATACAAGGTGGATAGTATTTGTAAGGAAGAGCCCTTCATCTGTCCTGCTTCCACACTAGATATACTGCCAATTTAAGTAGATGTGAACCATAAGCATAACCATTTCAAGAATGCACGAGGTACTTTAAACTGTATGTGTTGAAACTAAATTAACAAGAAAACAGCTCTGTGATGTTCACCTAGTAAAATTAGATTAGAAGATATAAACTGTTATGCACTTGTTCTGTACTGTTTCATTCCTTTTTCCAAACACTGGCATTTTTGAAGGTTTATTTACAGCTAAGGATTAAGAATTGACAGGAAGATTTGTGGACTACATCAACTAATGACACTACGTCCAAAAGAGTTGCAAAAAGCTGTCCAAAGTTTCAGCACCATCTTTAAGCCCATGATTTTAGTGTGTTTCATGCCTAAGCACATGAGTTTATATCTGAGATAGATGAGCTATATGATTATCTTAAACTGATCTACAGGTAAATGCCAAAACTTATTGGTTTACTTATTTATTTGTTTGTTTTTTTGTATATGTTAACCAGGTGAAATGGAGTGAGGCATACCAGGATATGCCTGGTTTTACTCTTGGGAAGGAGGTTGAACAGTGCAGTGTTTCTTCTATAGGATTGCATTGACCAGACATGCTACTGTAACTCTCATGGTCATGTGCTGGAATTAGCAGATATTCAACAATTTGGCCATCTCGCCGACCTATTGATATCAGAAGGTAACAATATCCAGTAGAATTTGTTTTAGTTGTTCTGTAACCTATTTTAATAGTATTGTGATTTTTGATTGCTTATCACTGTAGACCGCAGCAGCTCTGCAAAGCAAGTTGGAAAACAGAATCCATGAAACTGGCAGTGACTGGAAACCAATTGGAAGACTTTGGTCTGTGATGTAGAGGAGTGGGCAGACGGTGAGGAAATTCTTATTAATATTAAATGTAGTCATGAAAAATTGTAAGTGTTACTATTACTGTCATTTTTTCAGTAGCAGAAGCAAAGACAACAAACAACAGAAGTGATATGGATGTCTTTGTCATATGGCATGGTATGTACACTAGACTTCTGTCAGTGTTGATTCTTTAAAAGTTGACGTATAATCCTTGTTATACAACTTTCTTTTTATGAATATATTTCAGACTCTGCTGACCCAGCAACAAAGAGGAGGGTGTTCAACATCATCCTGCTAGTCAGGATTCTTCAGGAGAAGCAGTGGATTCTTGTGGCAGAGATGGCCAACCACTATAAATACCTTTCAACTAATCCTGGTTCCTTCAAAGAACTTTCCTGCTTGTTTGCTACTGAAAAGTACTGGTATGTATTTGTATTATTTGGCTCAAACTTAAGCATAAGGTTACCCAGTCCAAAGAATATTAATATATTTTTATGTTGTTGTGTTCTTCTTTTAAGATTCGACATGTGGCCTAAACGAAGAGGGGTTAAAAGGTCTATGGATCATCATTCTCAGAAAGCAACAAAATAACTGAGAAATAAACAACAATACGATGGTGCAATCTAGAGACCTGCAAGGTACCTGCAAGTTTTGGCTGGAGCAGTAAAGAGACATTTTTTAAATAAAGCTCCAGCTGATGAGTATGACATTGACTGTGGATTTTCTTTTACTGTAATCCAGAAGAGGATGACCTTAACCCTGAATCTAAAGCATGTAATAAAATCTGTAAAAATAAAATAAAATTTTCATCATCTATAACCAAATTGTTGTCTCTTTTTTTTTAAATACATAGATATGTACAGTATGTAAGCATGCCTCTAAAATCAATCAGTGTTGTAAATTAAGAGCATTATTGTATGCCCAACTGCTTACAACATATAACGATTTAAGGAACTCTATATTAAAATAAAATGATTACATTAAATGACATTAAGAGCTTTTAAAATATTAATTTTATGATACATTTTCATGATAAATTTAATTTTTGCATATACTTGGCCAAAAAATGTACATTATTATGGTCAACTGCTCAGATACCTCCAGTCAATATGTGGCTGAGTCAGGCAACCAGACTTCTACCTCTGAAAAAATTAACCTATGATTTACATCAAAGATCTGATGGATCTATTTGGTCCTCATTGATTTAAAAATAAATAAATAAATAATAATCTCCTTTTATTTTTGTCCTTACTTTGAAACATTTGTATTAATTTGTTAGAATGTCTAACAAAAAACTGCTGTACTTGTGAGATAACAGTGCCACTGTTGTTATGCAGAAAATAAAAATTAACTTTGTATAATGTTTTATTGAATGCAAAATAAAAAATAAAATATTTTCCAAGAGATGGGTTGCGGCTAGAAGAGCATCTGCTGCATAAAAACATGCTGGAAAAGTTGGCGGTTCATAGAGCTGTGGCGACCCCTGGTTAATAAAGGGACTAAGCCAAAAAGTAAAATAAAATATGTATTTTTTTGTAGACATAGAACTTCACAGTAACTTATAAGTACAGCACAGAACTATTTTAC